TTTGGGGGGTTTACAAATCCCGAACTTTGGGCAACAAATAATACAAAATTCTGTCCCGTTATCTCGTATATCGGTTTGAAGTCTCCCAGTCCAACCTGTACGGGTGCAGAAGTTAGCTAGCCCCGGCACTATGAAATAAAACGACTGTTTTAGTGTGTTAACACAAAATAACAGATAACAACAAATTGTTTTCGTATCAAAATTTCAAGGTCTGATGTCGGATAATAATAGTATACGTATGTAATTTCAGCTTTTATTGAACCTAACAATCCGGCAACCCTATTTATTATATAGTTACAATGTTATTCTCGCGTCGCGGTCGTCGATCTTTGTCGGAACTCGCGAATCTTATTTTGAAAAAAAATAAAACGTTATTTATAAATTTCAGAGTATAAGTGGTGAAAATAAACCGCGGTGACGGCACGTGTCTGTACAGTAAACACGGCATATGGACAGACGGTAACGCGCGCGATTCTTGTAAAATTAATTTATTTTTAAATTTAGACCGATAATAATAATATAATATACACGAACGTGTTCTGGCGCCTCTGGCTGATATAAAAAACAAAAAAAAACTAAAACGTATCATTATATAATAAATATGATTTTTTTTTTTTTTTTTTTTTAGTACATTGTATTATACATATATGTACAGTGCGTTCGCGTTTACACGGGTACTGTTAAAATATTTCGGCCAGACGATTTTGGATTTGGATGTCCCGGGCTAAATAGAAAATTACACGTTTATAACCCTTTCGGTGCGCGCACACGTGCAATTAATTTTTTTGAAAAGCGACGCGAATGCTGGATACTATACTCAAATAGTCCTATAGTTGAAGAGTTAAAATGCACATCCGTAAGGGTGTATTTTAGTATCCGCTATCGTTTTCCGAAAACGGAATTCAAATCCAAGGCTGTCTTGCCGAAATATTTAGCGTTATCTGGAAACGCGAACACGCTGTATATATTATATTAATAGGTATATGAGTTTTACTGCGTTATACCGAAAGACGGTATCTACATAAACATAGAAAGGTATGCTTACTTACTTACTTACTTACTTACTTACTTCATTAAAAACTATCGTTAAACTCGTATAACAATATTGTTGCGACCTAAAAAAATAAATAAATATCTAGTAATGACTGCAATTGGTAATAATTACATATTATTATATAACTATTACCTACGGGCTACGGACAATTACAAGTGTAATAATTATTAGCACACGAGACAACTTTTAACAACGTCTAATTGTTGTTGACTTAACTCGCAACTCGTTATAACTGTACAAGAGTAGTTGAGTAGGTATCAGATTTTGGCACACGCATTTCGAATATTCGCCCTATAGAAATCCGCAATAACAATGCTCGCATTTTCTCGTTTTTTTGTATAAATTAATAACACTAAGATGATGTGGTTCACAAACACTGTTTTAATCATCCCCTATACAAGTGGTTTCCGACCTTTCTGCCACTACGGCGACCAGTCGGAGAACTTTCGATACGTCTCGGACCACCTCAATTTTAGACCTTATTTTTCTTATAAACTAAAATCAATAAAAATTCCTTATGGGTTCTTCCTAATAATAATGTTTATAATTAATCAATTTTAAGTAAAGTTTAAAATGATCAACAATTAAATTAACGCGTATTACTATTATAAAAACAATTTAATGCGATTTTCGAGCTTGAATTTCCTTTAATAACAAAGATATTCCTGGGGGCACACTACACAAAGCTACACGCACGTCATTAGTGGCGCCCAACCGGTTTATTTGTTTATTTTTAATATAGAGTAGTCCGAAAAATCCTTGTTGGCACAAATAATTTGTTGAAAACATCACTAAATACCTTAATGCAGTTTTCCAATACTTAGGATACGCAATTGCTTTTTTTACACCGAAACTCTTCGATATGCACGTAAGATCCAAACGTATCCTTATACAGTTTCGATGGTTTTGTAACTCTATCAAATCTTCCTGGTTATTATCAGATACCTCATCGACGTGAACAATAAAAGGGTTTCGAATCATACTTCGGATATCTTTCATTTCGAAACCAATAAATTCTGGGAAATACCTATAAATTTCATCTTTAAGTTTAAAGTTTTAAAGTTCGCTGTACACAATTGTCAGTATTTGTGTCACGTCCCAAAGGAAAAATGAAATATGTCTAAGTTTTCTAGATATTGCTCGTGGACCACCACCACACAATGTCTTGCGGACCACCGGTGATCCGCGGACTATAGGTTGGGAACCTCTGCCCTATACTCCTAAAATTAGAAAAAAATTTTACAAAAGAAATCTGGTTAAAAATTGTTCTTTTCACGTGTATTGCCCGTATTAATAGATCAAAATTAGTTGTCAACTGTTAAGCGACTTTGTTTTTCCACATCGATATTCAAACCGATGTTTGGATTTTGGCTACTGCTGAAAACTCTGCCTAAGTACGAAATTATTAGCGATATAGCTATTTGAAATATTCGGGATTTTCAATTTTATGGGGTTAAGAGTTCCGTAAACCCAACATAATTTTAAACGATTTTTAAGATTTTAAAAGGTTTAAATAATATTTATTATTGCAATTAAAAATGTATGTTAAAAAAACGTCATTGTTCTGTCTTGTCTCGCCCCGACTTTGAGCACGGCGATGCGGGTCTGTTCCTTTTGAACTCGCGTAACTCGTCTCTCCCTATTTAGTTCCATGTTCCCATTTTCGCGCCTGCAACAGAGGCGAATTATTATATTTTCACTTCGGAATGTGGGTGCCTACAAAAAGTTGCCGATCGCCGACAATCAAGTTTGATTCGTTTTGTTTTTTTTTTCTCCGATTCTAACATAATATATTGCCGTCTACGTATACGTCTGTGTATTTTCGCCGTTTATTACGCACAATACGTATGCTATTCGAACCGAAATGGGGTGTCGGACGTTTAGCCATCTGGCGCAACAACAGGCGCAAAACGGCTGACGGTCCAACGATTATTGTGCGGTACTGCAGTTACCACGCGAACGTACACAACGCCCGAAACCGTTTACATTATCATTATCGTTGTAATTTGCTACCTGTATTCTCACCTGTGACACACCGTGCGGACGGCCGTCCGAAATTAAACCGGCGCGCGTGTAACAACATTGATACGGTACAACGTAATTGTTATCGCCGGACGAAACCCGCCGACGGGTTAATAGGCCTGTTAAATATCAATCTGTGACGTGACCGGGCAATTAGAATAATTTCACGTGACGGTATTATTGTGCGTGAGGAGGCGTTCACTCGCGACTTGGCCGATCGCTGTCGGTGGCGAACACTTTTCCACTCCCGGCGCCGAACCGTTCAACGGCATAGGCGAGGTAGTCCGAAAACTACCACGGGACCAGCGGCCCGACCGAGCGGGTGGACCCGTACGACCGTTTGAGAAAAAAAAAGGTTTATTTTAATTTTTTCGTTTATCGTTTATCTTATCCTTCGCGCCGCCGTCCCGACACCGTTCGGGGTCGGGTTGTGTTTATCGTTTGTGGTTTGATAAAATACAATTTCAAAGTTTCAAAACATACTTTAAATACAACAAACACGGTAAACAGATATCCTCAATACACACGGATGCGTCATCGATCGGGAAGATTGTGTCTATAAGTGTGTTGTTGGCGTTGGAAAAACGGCGGTTGAATTTTTCACTGTGATTATTTATAATATCGCGTACACTGGTATCTAAGGCAAATGTAAAATTGTATACATATAAAGAATTTTCTTTTTTTCATACAAAGTCTTGTACAATAATTATGTATTGATATATACAGTTACAGCGTAGTAAATAACACTGTTAAACATTTAAATCATTTACACGGCACTTTTTTTTGCCCATGATAGTTATGGTGTTTCACTGCAATATTGTGAAACTCATTAATCATTAGCTACCTACACATACAACTTAAAAATGTGTATTTTGTTGTGCAACGAAATTATTGATTATGTCTGAACCCCCACGCCCACTTTGATAAATCTTAATTATTGCTTCACTACTTCGGACACTTCGTTGTTGACAGAGACGAATTTTCGTAAAACGATTTGTCCTCCTATAGGTATAGTACTTGTCCGAATCGTATGAAATTGTAACAATTCGTACAGAAAGCATCGCTGGTTTCACAGCCAAAAGTTTCGGATAATTTTGTTTTATTAAAATTTCCGAAAATACTAATTTACTTTGAGTTAATATTGAATATAATTTCAAAACCGGTTTCAAGCCCTGTAAAAAAATGCTAATATAAGAATTCCGTGATCATTTTATCTCCATCATAATTTTTAATCGATTTACAATGTAAAACCAAAATCGAACATAACAAAAACTATTAATATCATAAACTATCCGGTATTTCCTATGTCTTCTTCTGAATTTTCTCATTTATCGTGGAACCTGGGTGGAAAACCAAAACACGACTTCCATACGAACCGAATAGATCTAAAATGCAATACAAAAGGTCTCTTGTCATATTTTAACTGAACCAAGATTTCTGGTAGAAAAGTCATAACACAAAAAATACAAAGCATAGTAAAACCAATACATTCTTCAGTCCCACTCAAAACCCAAAAATATTGACTATATTACTTGGACATGACGGAAATCTAATGAAAATAAAATCTATCGTAAACAATAAAAAATAATTTAAACATATTATTATTACATATTACCAAATATTAGATTAATGGGAAACGGGCTGATTTTTTTTCGAAATCTGTGCACTCTTAAATATATTCTTTGCCTCAATATACTCTTAGCTTGATCTATCATTAAGCTGATCATGAACGTGTGCCTTATATGCATTTTAAAAATTGCCCCCTCTCCATTATTCACCCGTGCTGCAAAGGCACAAGAACGAACATGCAATTTGGTACACCTGTATTGTAATAGACTATTATACAACCCAAATGCAAACGAGGTATAATAAATAAACGAACACATATTATTTTTATAATATAATATTATATAATAAATTGTTTGTTTATTATTTATTTACATTTTTTTTTTTTAAAATAAAGTCATTTAGCAAATATTACAGTTTCAAAAAAAAAAAAAAAAAAAAAAAAGGGAAAATACATGGGTTTTTTTTATAGTTAATAATATTCATTGTATAACATAAATAATAAACATAATAATTTTATAACATTTCTCTCTTAATTTCACTTCTTTTTTTTAAAATTTTTAAATCTATATTTATAATAATCATTATAGTTTACAACACGCTAATATATATATATACTATAATGATTAATTACATAATAATATATAATAAATTGTTTCGTTTACAAATTCAATCACTCTGAATAACTACATAATAAATTATTAAAATTAAGTTAAAACTATCATAAACATTCTAGAGAAAAAAAAAATAAAATCACGGTTGATTAAAATATTAAATAACTATCAAAGAAAAGTAGGCAAGAGTAGCTATAATAATAGTTAATAATATATAAATATATATATTTAATTATTTGTCTTGTAAAAGGGTCGGTTTTCAAAGAAAATATTCCTGATATTTTTAAAATTTATTATAGAAAAATAATTTTATTTTATTTTTAAAATATTGCTATTAAAAGTTGGTTATTCATTAATTGTTTTTCAAACGTTAAAACTAATACAAATTAAAATGATGGTAATATTAAGCAAAAAATAAAACATATTTGCGATATTATAATCTTAAAGTAACAAGTAACTAATACACAGCCAAATTATGTATTTCGTCATATTTCACATTTTTATTTTTTTTTTGTTTACAAATATTTATAAACCCAAAATAAACAGAATAAAATACTTATACAATGATAATAATGACCAAAAGTTTCAAAAAAAAAAAAAAACCTACTTTAATCCGTTATATTATATTTACGAATTATGTTAGTAATAAAATCTTTATAATAGAATATATAGTAAAAATAATTCATTAACTCAAAAAAATATAAATACATACAATATGCACACACACACATATATATATATACATATACATACATATACATATATATATATATATATATATATATATCTATATCAATTATTAAGAATATATTTTTTATTATTATTATTGTGAGTTTAACCAGATCGAACCGAAAACAATCAATGTTATAAATTGCTTATCGAGTTTAATAATATTATTTTTTGTTTAAGAGATTAATATTGAAATATTATCATCTCATTCTATAAATAACGTTCAACGTGATACACTTATTATTTAAGCACCCCACCTAAAATTAATGTTAACTTTATAATGAGATCGATCACAAATGAAAATTCTCTTAAACTTTGGCTTTTGTAAAAGATTATTGAATCCAAATTATGCTCCCCTTAAAAAATTATTATCGAGATCAAAAAAAAAAAAAAAAACAAACAAACAAAATTATATAATAAAAAAAAAAATTAAGTCTATCAATTTTTGTTTGAACACATCTGAATTATTAAATTCTTAAATCATATATTAAGACTTTTTGAATGATTTCTTTTTATTATTTTACTTATTTTTGTTTCCAGAACGATTTGAGCTTTTTGTTTAAGAAGCTTAAGTTTTTTTTCTTTGAAAAAGCATTTATTTTGGAAGATATGTTAAATCGGGATAGGAGATTGTCTTAGAGAGCATTTGCATAATAACAATGAATATAATATAATATTTATATATTCAACCGCATGTGACATAATGAATTTAAACATTTAATTTTTTTTTTATCACAATTTAATGAATTATTTCATTTTTTTTTTATTTTAGATTCTGAGCGAATTTTTAATATTAAAATACAAATTTAACAACTATAATTATTTTTTTTAATAAACACGAAAAAAATGTCACATGCGTTTGATATATCACTTAAAAAATAAAAATAATAATACAATAAAATAATAATAGTAAATACAAACTCAAAGAGCAAATTGGTAACTACTTATAATAATAAAAAATTATTTAAACAATAAATAAATCAAAAATAATACGACCAAGTAAAATAATAATATTATTTTTATAAATTACATTTGGGAAAAAAACGTGCATCTGTATATAGGAGAATCAGAACCCTAACTAAAATCAAAATGCTTATATTATTCACGATATTTTGTTTAAAAAAAAAAAAAAAACGTCGCTTAAGAATTGTCGAAAATTAATTCTGTGCGCATTTAATAAAATTTGTATAAAATATCAAGTCTAGAAAAAACATTACAATAATAAATATTATAATTAATATATAATCATTTCTTTAAAAATTATTATTATTATTAAAATATTATTGCTTTTTTTATGTCTTATAAGTTATTATATTGTTGTTGTTTTTTTTTTTATATATATAACAAATGTTTTGTCTTTTCATTTAAAAAATATGGCTTTTTGGGTTGTTAACAAAAAATTATTAATATTTTTTCACGAAGTCGAATATACAAAAAAACCAACATGTATATTGACTCGTCGAATGAATAATAATAATAATAATAATAATAATAATAATAATAATGTATTACGTCCTTAGGAACTCCAAGTACTAAAGCGTTAAAGTACATGATATACATAAATAAAATTTTATCCTTTAAAAAATATCATGTAAGTATAATTATATATATAAGAAGATACCATATATAGTCTGTGGTTTTCTTTTTTTTTTATATATATATATAATATGATATAATATAAGTATGTATGTATGCATGGTTTACGACTCGATAATATTTTGTATTGTTATTACTTATTATTGTAATACGATTATAATAATTATTATTATTATATGCATACGAAATGCATATAATAATGTACATATAGACATTTGTATAATATAATAATGTAATATATATAGATGAATATATTTATATAGGTATTTATGCAATTTAAATCTTTACTTAACGAATTAAAAATCAAAATTTATTTCTATAAAATTTAATAATAATAAAAGATGATATAGAAAAAAAAAAAAAAAAAAACGTAATAATAATAATTAAAAACATAAAAGGAAAAAAAAAAATTGTAATTTTGGCAGTTAGCGTATATAACATATTATATTGTGGTGCAGATTGTCGGCGTAGATTCGGAGTCTGAGCCAGTTCTTTATCGCGTCCCGTTCACGATTACGCCAGCTGCGCGTTTTCGAGCGATCCAACAAATCTGGTGCACGCTTTCTTCCACTTGCACTGGGTGCACCATTTCTCGCGGTGTTCCATACCGTACACCTTGCGACATTTTTTCGTCTCGCCGCGCACCTTCCTCATAGGACTGCTCGGGAACCTCGATCCGTTATTCAAATGCTGATACATCATTTTGATCTGTTTCTGCGGAGATGAAAAAATAAAAAAAAAAAAAAATGAAAAAAAAAACCTTGTTAAAAACGAAAACGCACAGTGATTGCGTAAATAAAAAACCGGACGTACTCCGCACCGTGGGCAGATCGCTGTCGTACATACAGGTGGGACGTCGGGAAGGCATGGGATACATTATTAGTTTTTTTTTAAAAAAATCGTATATACCGAAGGCAACTGCGATAAACTATTGCGCGTCGCAATTGAAACCCGATTAGTTTATTTCCGTTTTACCCGCGGCTAAGGTAACGCGGAAATCGACAAATATAAAAAAAAAAAAAAAACCCCAAAGGATTGCCGGTATACCTAATTGTCGTTTGCGTTTGTTGTCGGCGTTTTCTAATTTCTCGGAAAAACTATCGGGAATTTCGGAAACGTTATTAAAACCAAAAGGAAAACCATCGATCCACTCGGAATCAAAGTATAAACGAGCACGTTAAACGCGGATGCGCCGCCGGTGACGTGCGGAACACCGACGGAAGAAACGGGAGGAGGGGGTGGCGGTAGACGTTCCAGTGACGGACAATTGTGCGATAATCCAGTGTACAGTTTATCATGCAGCGGCGGTACGTACCTGTCCGTTTAGAGAAGCGAACGGCCAGTTGGCGGCGTTGTTGGACGACGTGCTGGGTATGTTCACGGGGCAGGCGCCGGGGCGCGGTATGATCAGCGTCTTCTGGTATTCCGGATCTGTATACACGCGCGTACGGGAGAAAAACAGAAAACAGAAAAAAAAAAAAAATGCCCATTAATACGGAACCGGACTCGCGCCGTCGAGTGTATTGTAAAAGTTTAAAAAAAAATATCGGATATCGTACGAATAGTAATAATCATCTTAGGGGACGCGCATCCATTACCTTCGTGCGGCGGACGCGCCATGTCCCGGTGCGAAAGCGTCGGCGGAGAAGAGGCTGCGCTCAGTTCGACCTCCGTGTAATAGAATTCCTCTTCGTGGTCGTCGATCGAATCGTTTGTCGAGTCGTCCAGCGGGGATTTTTCGCGTCTCGGCCTGTAATTTTTTATACACACACGTATAATTATTTAGCGCTATCGCGTGCGCGCGATCGGTGAACCGTTATAATATAGGCGAAGTAAATTATTCCCGTTTAAAACCGAGCGGGGGGGGGGAGCTTTTATCGCTCCCCTCTAGGAAAGACCCGGACGTCGCCGGTGGCCGCTGGTGTCCGCGGAAGCGAGAAGAGACGAACCAGAAACGGTAAGAATTGTAACGAAAATAGACGTACGGGGAAAGAGGCGGAGAGGAACATTGAAAAAAGAGACGGTCAGATGTGATTGCAAGAACGATACGGGAATGGCGGGTGAAATGTGCGAGGACGATGTAGGGGATCGGGTCGAGTGAAAGTTTCGGGCGGGGTTGGCCGACCCCGAATAGTCGGGACGAAGTCGAAGGAGGAGAAGAAACGGACGGGCTGTACCCGTCAATTTATTATGAGTAGGTAAACATTTGCATTATGCGCTCGTATATTTGTGTACTTGGCCCTACGCTTTCGAGTCGTCTGAAAAAATCATGAAGTGCCCACGTCATTATGGTGCCCGTGATGTTTATAAATTGCATGCGAATAAAATACGTAATAACATGTGTGCTCAATAAACCGCATTTAAATGACATCTGTAATTATACAAGTAAGACATGTTTTTATTATTTTTTTTTCTATATAGTCGCTTCCCCCTCCCCTTCCCTACTTCCGAGCTTCAGACGAACGTTGCTCATTTGAATTTTCCAATTAAAAATCAATTATTTTCGTTACAAGCATAGCAGTTCGAAACGCTACGAGTCAGTCTACGCTGTTACGCGGGACGCACAGCACTCCGTACAATTTTTCGACGGTCGCCGAAGCGCCCGGACGCATATTATTGCGCCCGGTTTCGGATCCGGTCGTTCGTTATGCTTCACCCGATGTGTAATGGTGTTTCGAACGTGTGTACATACTCATTTAACGTCGTTACCGAAGCGTCGACGACGCTTCAGACGCGGCGACTGTGTTTGTTCCACCAATAACGGGTTCGGTTCGCGTTGTTTTTTTTTTTTTTTCCGGTATGGGGGGATTCTGAACGTGTTGGTTTTACCCGTGACGCGTGCTTCTTGTTATTTCTCCGGGGGGCGCGGTTTCGCGCGACAAACGGGGGGGGTCGATTTCCGAATTATTTTTTTTTTTTAATGAACACACTGTATATTCGTCCGTCGACGTATATCGGGTGTAGCATAACGAGCGGCGGGTCCGAAACCGGGCGCGGCGCGCCGTCAATACGGCACCCGGACGCCCGCGGCACCTGTACACGCGACTGTGACGCCGTGTAGAAGTATGGCCGTTACCAATAACGTGAATTATCATTATTATTATTATGTTACGCGATTCGTTTGCACTTACCCAAGGTGATTCTGGCGAACGTGCAGTTCGATCGAGGCCGTGGTGGTGGTGAACATAACGCATCCGGGCCAAGTGCATTGGAAAACGGTACGGCAATCCGACTGTGGAAAAAAAAAAAAAAACGTTATTAAGATTACCGACAATTATTTGCGTTTAAATCAAGATTTGTCGAGAACCCCCTCCCCCCGGACAACAATAATCGTTGCAGCGATTGTCACGATTCGATTTACGCACGGCACTCCGTACGGTCCCCCGAGGCTAACAACGATGACAATGAAACGCCGTAAAAACGATAATTCCGCGCGAGAACGACGACGACCGGCGGAGAACGGGAACTATTCGTCGTCGTTATTTTTACATTCCGTTGTGGCGACTACGGAATTTAGTGGAAAAACAAAAAAATGTCGTCTAGGTCGCTGATTATCGGAAACAAAAAATGTCATTGTTTCGCTAAATTTAAGCGCGCAATACCGTCGGTATTCCTGTACACGTGCTTGTGCAATTCGGTACAGCGCGCGCACATGAGAAAACCGCGACAATTCCCGGACGAATAAAAACGAAAATGGCCTTTTCGTCGTCGTTGACAATCGCGTACGTACGACCGCTATCATGCGATGTATTTTTAATTTTATTTTTTCTCCCCCGTCTGAAATGTCACTCCGATCGAAAAACAAGTGACGGCCAAATACGCGTGTCGCACCTCTTCGATTTCCCACCTACAACAACGGTATCCTTGCTACAGTACATCGCCTACTTTTTTCCGGAGGCCCCCGAAAATTCGACTCTCCGCCGCTATTGCCCCCCCGCTATGCCCCGCGGCGTGTCGAGTCGTTATCGAGTGAACGCTCGCGGGGTTTTCGTCCGTTTTCCGTCGGGGGAAAAATAACGAAATCATTAAACAATATTCGGGCTATGCGGTCGCATAAAAACGCGACGGGCACCAGGAGACACGGGTGAGTGGCCAGTGTCCGAAAGCGCGGCGCGCACCGCCGTTCGCGTAGTGTTTCCGTTCGCAATGCCGTCGGCGTCCGTACGATTCCGATAACGATTTTCCGTTCCGATCGATCGTTCGCCCGTATTTTCTCTGGCGGTTCCTCGAGCGCGTTTCCACTCTCGCGCCGGTTTTGTTGTTTCGTACGCGTTTGACCCGCATACGTGAATAACGAGGTCAAACCCCCTCTCCCTTCCTTTCCCCCGCGTGCGCGCGCGCGCGCCCGGTTTCACTCTTCCCGTTTCCCGGCGTCCTCTTCTCGTTCCGACCGCGTCCGTCCCGCGGTTTTCTTTGCTTTCTTACACGTTTCTCACTCTTTCTGCGGACCCGTTTTGCCCGGGGGGACGCGACCGCGCCTCGAAAAACTTCCGATTTTCCTCGCTTCTTTTCGGCGCCCGTTTACACGAGCCGCGCGATCACCGGCCCAACCCCGAGCACGCGCGTTAACGCGACGTTTAAATATGCCGTCGACTATATTAAATAACACCGATCGAATAGTAACGATTTTTAGTTTGTTCTAGCCGTCCATTCGATCAGATCAAGTTTTCATCGGCTCTTGTTCGCCGGTCTCCGCGACACTTGTCATTGCGCTGTTTTGATTCCGTTTCGCTGAGCGTTTCTTCGTTGAATCACTGTTCGTCAACGTGCACGCGCCGCTATACTCGTTACGAGAGCCACCGTCCGCGGACGGGATATTT